CCACATCATTCTCCCTGCACGGAGCCTGCTTCTCCCTCTGCCTGTGTCTCTGCCTCTCTCTCTCTCTATGTATCTCATGAGTAAATAAATAAAATCTTAAAAAAAAACACAGGTTTATTTCTCTCACTGAAAGTCCAAGTCAGCAGGCAGTTTTGGAGATGGGTGGAGGTGGTTGGCTTTGCTCCAAAAATTATGGGGGGCCCTGGTTCCCTCTAGCAGCTCTGCCAGCCCCCACCATGGTAAGAGTGGAAGAGAGGGAAGGGCAGGGCAGGCAGGGACCTTGAAGGGCCTGACCTGAAGGTTGCAGAGGTCATTCCTGCTCACATCCCATTGGACTGATCTTAGTACGTGGATGTGTCTAGCTGCAAGGGATGCTGGGAAATGTAGTCTCCAGCTTGGTGGCCCTCTGCCCAGATAAAACAGTGGGTTTCATTACTAAAAGGGAGAGGAGAAGGCTAAATTGGGGGGGGGGCACTTTGCCATGCAGAGACAGACAACAAAACAATTAATAAATATTTTAGTAGCATAAGTCAGATAGACAGGATCGACCGCTTGAGATGACATTTGAATTTGAATGAATTAAAGTTGCCAGCCTTGCACTGTCAAAGGGAAGAGGGCTCCAGGCAGAGGAAACAGCAAATATTAGGCCTTGGGTGCGATGGGTGGGGGTAGGGTGTGGAAATGAGCTTATGTGTTCTAGGAAAGCAGCTAGAGGAGGGCTTGGCAGGCTGTAGGAAGGGGCTGGGTTTTATTCTGAAGGTAAAGCATGTGTGTGTGTGCACACGCACATGCATGTGTATAGGGACTGAGGTGGGACGGGGTCAAACAGTGGGACAGGTGGGAAGCTGCACACCTGTCCAGGTGAAGGATGGGCTGTAGTCTAGGTGTAAGCAGAGAGAGGAAAGAAGTTGACGAGATAGAGTTTATTCACGAGGAGGAATAACTGTTAGGAAAATGGATTGGGATCCAAATTTTGGACAGCCTTACATGCCTGGCTGGAAAAACGAGAGATTTCATTTTGTAAGCAATTTTAAAGCCAAAGAACGGGCATAGTCAGAGTGAACTATACTTGAGAAAAGTCACATCCTTTCGTAGACTTGGGGGGAAAGTGATTTTACTCAAGATGAACAAGAAGGGTTCAGGGGATGCCCTTGCAAGATGGCAGGGAACATGCCAAGGCCCAGCTTTTCAGGCTGCTGTAAAGTCTGGTCTGCTCCCAGCCCGAATCGAGAGTGCAGAGCTGCAGGCCACGAGGCTACGAAGGTTCTTAAGGACCTGCATCCGCACGCAGCGCTCCCGAAGAGCCCAGATTGCCAGAAGCAGCAGCGGGAAGCCATTATGAGAGCTTGCACAATCTATTCTAGCTGAGAATGTTTCCCAATATAATTTACAAAATTTCAGTTGGAAATGCATTAGCAGCTGAGCAGTGAGGAACTTCTACGGGGGAAAGAGGAAAACTAAATTAAAACCCCAGCTTCGAACGTGATCGAACGGTGTGTGCGGCCCCTGCAGTCTTCTCTAACCTTTTCAAGTCCAAAGAGCCCTTTTGTTCTGCTCGGTTTATGGGTTGCTTTTCATTTGATTTGGCTTCAGAAAGTTTTTATGGAATCCGTTCAAAAGACTGCCGATGAGCTCACATGCTAAACCGTCCGTTCACACATGCACCGTAAAAAGAGCGCAGAGGAAGAGATACAGGCATCTGAACACATACACAGAGCACTGAAGAGGGACTGAGACGGACAGACACGGAGGCAGAGAAGGATGAAGAAATGCAGAGGGAGAGGCTGAGGACACAGGGCACTTAACTTCTCTGTGCTGCCTTTGAAATCACGTATTATAACCTCGAACTGGTTTTCCATGAGTAATGCAGGCCATCTCCTTGTCCTGTGTCTGCACACCCAACCACTGGAAAGTTCGCTGGTAACTGCAAGTCATTTATGCCTTCTTCTTGGGAATTCTGGGGCCCTTACCAAGGCAGAGATGGCTTTCCCTGCACCACTCTATCCCTCCACCTGACAGCAGCATCTTAGGCTCTGGTCTCCTCTCTCAATGGCTCTCTGGTTCTTCTAGAGGAGACCCCAAGCTCCATTTGACATGACAGGGAGAGTCACATCCTGTTGGGGGACTTTAAACATAAGGGATGCCCCGGACATAGTCTGAGCCAAGTGCTCCGTCCTCTCTGAAAGCAGGGAGGCATCCATTCTGTGGGCACCATGACCACAGAGCCAGTGAGGGGCCAGGAGGCCACTGGCGGAGAGGCCAGTCCCTGTTCCCACCCCTGGGCAGCCTGGATCCCTCCTCGAGGAAGAATCATGTCGGAGATCACTCGGGGTACCTACTCTGTCAGTCAGATGCTAGGGATCCCAGACACAGACCTGCCTTCAGGGAGGGGACATTCTAGCAGGAAGATCGCAACAAGGAAGCCAACCCATAAACAACTCAACTCCAGGTGGGTATCAGTGCTTCCCATAAATAGTAACAACATGGAGGTAACAGTGCCATGTTGGGAGAAGTGGTTTCTTCAGGGGGGTGGGCAGGGCAGAACGGAGGAGCAGAGACTGAATAACGTGGCAGGAAAAGAGCAAGCAGACATGCCCTGAGATGGGAATGGGCTGGTCATCTCTGAGGAAGAGAGGCCATCTCTGAGGGCGCCTGGGTGGCTTGGTTGGTTAAGCGTCCAACCCTCGATCTCAGTTCAGGTCTTGATCTCAAGGTCATGAGTTCAAGTCCCATGTTGGGATCCGCTCTGGGTGTGGAGCCTACCAAACAATCAAACAGACAAAAACAGAAAGAAATGATTTCACATTTCTTGCTCTTATTTGGTGACCTGAAGAAGAGGAGAAAAAATGTTGGGAGCCTCCACTTGCACCACCAATGAGCTTGTGTTACAGCCACTACAGTGGGTGTGAAACGGTTAAAGAGCACCCCCCCCCCGCCCACCCCAACCACTACCACCACTGTCTGCAGCCAAGGAGGCCCTTAACACAACAGGGGTAACGTCCGAGAATCCATGCCTGAACCATCACAGAGCTTCCCCCCTGAAGCTGCACAGTGTATCCGTTTGCCTACTGCCCAGGTTGCACACCACCCGAGGGTGGCAAAGCCTTCTCCTCAGCCCAGTCATCTAGCCAAACCCCTAGACACAGCTTACTCACAGCAAGGCAGGTGTAGACGCTGCACATAAAATCTTTTTAAAAATACATGAGATAGGGACACCTGGGTGGCTCAGTGGCTGAGTGTCCACCTTTGGCTCAGGGTATGATCCTGGGGTCCTGGTATCGAGTCCCACATTGGGCTCCCTACCGGCTGCTTCTCTCTCTGCCTGTGTCTCTGCCTCTCTCTGTGTCTCTCATGAATAAATAAATAAAATCTTTTTTAAAAAATAAAATAAAATAAAAGAAGAGAGATTGATGGAACTTTAAAATGGAGTTATAATTGTCAGTATATAGTGAAGTTGCACACAGAGAAATCAAGAATTCTCTGCAATGGGTGTTACGTGCAGGAAGTGACTTCTGCCTCGGCCAGCCTGGACCACAGAGAAGGGTGTTGGTGTTGTAAAGTTGGTTTATAAAACGAGAGAAATCCATGCCCCCCACCCCCAAAGAAAGAAATCCACCTAGAACACAGAATTCTACACACATGGATCATTTCCACAGGGGAGAGATTAGAAATTAATGCGAGAGTTTTACTCTGTGTGTGTAACATATTATCCATAATTTTATTAGAATTTATAATTACGTGTATTTCTTTATGAAATCATCTGTATATAGATAAGGTTTCTTCTTGCCCATGTGTGCCATCCATCATATTTGCCTCTTTTATGGGAAAAACCAAAACCAAAGCAGTAAATGAGTGGAAAGAAATAGTGATTTTAAATCCGAGCTCCTTGTTGATTACATTAAAATTTCAAGCATCTATATGGCCAGAGAGAGAGAGAAGGAGAGAAAAGAAAGAAAAGAAAGAAAAGAAAAGAAAAGAAAAGAAAAGAAAAGAAAAGAAAAGAAAAGAAAAGAAAAGAAAAGAAAAAGAAAGGAACAAATGCGTCCTAAACAAAGTCAGAAGCTAAGCAACGATGTGGGAAGCAGCACCACATAATAGACAAAGGGCTAATTTTTATTATTTACAAAGAGCCCTTTACAAATCAATAAGGAAAAGACAAACAGCCCAACAGATACATGAGCAAAGTACAAGAACAGGCTGATAGCAGAGAAGAGCAAGGTATTTGGCTAGTAACATGAAAAGAAGGCCAATCCCCCTCATAATTAAATAAAAATAAAATATTATTTTTAAAAAAAAGTTGGCAAGGCTTAAAATTTATCCTAACTTGGAATCCCCAGAAGCAGACCCCGAGACACATGTTTGGGTACAAGTAGCTGATTCAGGAGGCGTCCTTGGGAGCAATGGGCTTGGGGCCCCAGAGGGACCAGTGAAGGGAGAAGCCTGTGACCCTGGTGACTCCTGGAGCCTCAGGCCACTGGGGCAGTGGGGGGGGGAGGCAGAGGGGGCCCCCAGAGTTCCCTTGACCAAGAGGTGAGGGACGTGGGGGCTCTCACCCCCACCCCCGCTGGAAACGGGTCCAAGGTTGCTGGAACAGGCTGGCCATCAGGTCCCCAGTCCTTCTGGTTGGCGATGAGCCCGCGTGAGTAGAGCAGGCCCCCGCAGCCAGCAAAGCGGGGGGCAAAGAAATGTAGGAGCTGACCGGGGGCAGCTGGGCAGACACCCGAATGATAAGGGTAAAGGGCTGTAAGGTCAGGGCAGCAGTAGGCTCAGTACAGGAGGGGACACACGTTCGGCTCTCGCCGTGTGCAAGGCACTGATAATGTGTGTATGCGTCTCATCACCTAGTGTATAACCGCTTCGTGATAGAGGTGCGACTTCTTATTTATTTATTTATTTATTTATTTATTTATTTATTTATTTATTTTTAAATTTTTTTATAAATTTATTTTTATTGGTGTTCAATTTGCCAACATACAGAATAACACCCAGTGCTCATCCTGTCAAGTGCCCATAGAGGTGTGACTTCTAACCCTGTTTTCAAATGAGCAGAGGCCGGAAGGGCTTGGTTAAACAACTTTCCCAAGGTCCTGCAGCAATGAGAGGGCAGAAGGACGATTCATTCCAGGCTGCCCAACCCCAGGGCCCAGTCTCCTCACTGGTGTCCTCCTGGAGGGAGGGCAACACCTCACACACCACGGATGGTAGTGTAAATCGGGTACAGCCTCTTTGGAGCATTGCTCGGTGATAACTGTCAAATTTTTAAATGCATATATCACACGACTCAACCGCTCCCAATTCCAGATATAAATCCTGCAGACATACTTGCAAAAGGGAGTCACTGCAGAGGAACACAAAAGCAATTGAGATTTTTAATTAAATAAGAATAATAAGGGGCACCTGGGTGGCTCAGCAGTTGGGCATCTGCCTTGGGCTCAGGGCATGATCCTGGGGTCCTGGGATCGAGTCCCGCATTGGGCTCCCAACAGGGAGCCTGCTTCTCCCTCTGTCTGTGTCTCTGCCTCTCTCTGTGTCTCTCATGAATAAATAAATAAATAAAATCTTAAAAAAGAATAGTAAGACCCCTGGAAACAATGTAACTGCCTGTTAAGAAAGGGGCGATAGAGCATTTAAGGTGTGTTCACACAGTGAACTAGCACAGAACTCTTAAATGTAAGGGCAAGGAGCTATGTGTGCTGAAACAGATAAAAGTCGACACTTTTTTAAAAATGTAAATTGTTACCTTTCTCAAAAAGCATGTAGCAACAAATGTTTGGTGTGGCTCCATTTGTTTACAAAGAAAAAGGATATTCGTTTATTACATGTGTGGGAAAAAGATTCAAGGAGACCACGGATCAGGATTGAGAATCTGAGAGATTAAGTGTGGGTGGGGAGACGTCCCTTATTTCTTACCCTATACCCTTCTGAATTACGTGAATTTGCTCCTGAGGATTATTTTTATAAATAAAAAGTCCTAAGGGCACTAGGATTGTGAGTTCAAGTCCTATGTTGGGTATAGAGATTAGTCAAAAATAAAATATTTTTATTTATTTATTTATTTATTTATTTATTTGAGGGGGAGGGGCAGAAGGAGAGGGAGAGAGAGAATCTCAGACTCCGGGCACTGAACGGGGAACCTGACATGGGGCTTGATGTCATGGCAACTGAAATCATGAGCTGAGATGAAAACAAGAGTCAGATGCTCAACCGACTAAGCCGCTCACGTGCCCCCAAAACAAAATCTTCTTTTTAAAGTCATAAAAATGACTAAACAAACGAATCCATTACTCGGGATATTAACACCAGGTTTCTTGGATCCTCCTTGATCTGCTTCTCTCCTTCCCTCTCATTCACCTTTCCCTAAAGTTTATCTTCTCCCTAGCTTTGGCAGGCTGCTCCTCTCCTTGGGATGCCTCTTCTCTACCCTGCTGAGTTTCCCAGTCCCACATATCCTGCGAAATCTAGCTCAGTTACCACGTCCTTCTAGAGGCTATGCTGGCTCCTCAAAATCCCCTTCCCCTCCAGATACTCATAGCATCTGTGGTCAGTACCAACCACATGACCTGGTATTTCGATTCCCCTTACTTTCTTTCAGGTCTCTCATGTTTATGTTTTGTGTTCTAGGACGTATGTTTTCCCATCTCCTGGGAAAAAAACAGCCAAGAACTTGGGGAAATGAGACAAAATATTATAATTCTGTGAGAATGAAAGCTTCGCAGTCAGCATTCAGATGTTACCCATTTTTGAAGGACTCCGCGGACATCAAGAGGAAAGTGAGACTGACACAACGAGTGGAAGGGGAAGAACCAGTGCATATGGGAGCATTCATCTCTATCCACTTGCTTGGTCTCCTTGGCTATTGTGTGTCTGTGGCCCTATCTGCTGCCAACAGTGTGCCATTCTTGCAAATAAGATACATAGTGATGTCCATATACATAGTATACTTGAGACTCCTGTGAGTAGAGTTCCAAGAAATACAAGCTTGGAAGGAAAATAAGTCCTTTGGTAAATTTCTTTTCTCTTTGTGGTGACTTCACTCTTGCTGGGAAATCTGAATGTGACATTATTTGAATATTACCCAATAATGTTCACTGGCATTTTCCAGTATATGAATCTTTGCTGCAGACAAAGATTCATCATAAATTTTCTGCAAAGCTCTTTATAAATACTATTAAACATGCAATTTTTTCTTTATCAAACAACTTTTTTAGATATCCATGAAGAATGTTAAAAATATTTTAAGGGGGCACCTGGGTGGCTTAGTCATTTAAGCATTTGACTCTTGATTTTGGGTCAGGTCATGATCTCAGCATACTGAGATCAGGTCCTCATGTAGTTTTGTGCTCAGCTCAGATTCTGCTTGAGATTCTCTCTCTTCTTCCCCTACCAATCCCCCTGCTCAAGCACACGCTCTCTTCCTCTCTCTTTCTGAAATAAATAAAAATATTTTTTTAAAAAAGTATTTTAAGAATAACTTATGATTTTAGTAATTCCGTGTTCTCATTCCCAGAGCCCAAGGATTCATGTCTGTCAGGAATTTGGAGATGCTTGTGCTGTCATAGAGTTCATTGGTGTCTTACTAGAAGAGCTTAGATGGCAAGATTTTCTGAGAAAGTGCCCAAGCCCCAGAGATCACACACAGCCACCTTCACAGTATGCTCTCACTCACTAGCAGGTGAGCTGTCACCAAGGGCCGGGGACAGTGCTTCTGCTCATGGACCATGGGGACGGCAATGTTCAAGACACATGTGCACATGTTCCTGTGTGCCAGATTCTCAGTAAGTGTATTGATGCTGGCTTCTCTGAGCTGTAAATTTTCCATCTGCAAAATAAAGAAGTGAGAGAAGCCAATGATTTTTTTTCAAATGTTATTTTTGGTGGAATCTGACCCTAGGAGGACCCCCCAAGGTGGACTGTAAAAATAACAGCAATAATTAGTTATGGCCTGCTGGTTCCAAACACTGTAGACTTATTAACTTATTAAACTTCACAACAATCCATATGCCCATTTTACAGACGAGAAAACTAATGAGACTCCAAAGGGATTTAAGTAACTCTCCCAGGGTCCCCATGTGAGCAGTCTGGTTCCAGACCCTAAAGTAAGGAATTCGGGTGGGCAATAGGGAACCATGCTCTGCTCACCTTCCCCTTTCTTGCCACAGTGGCCCCACACAAACCTTTGGGCTCTCCTAGAATACAGCTGAAGAAGTTAGTGCCCTAAATAATTCCCACTATCATTTTCAATTTAGATTTAACTAAAGAATATTTTCATACCACAGTCCATTTTTGTAACTTACTGCAATCTGCAAATCTGTGGAACACTTACAACATCTCAGCTGAGCATCCCACAAACCCTCTAAGGCAGACAAAGCAGGACTCTTGGCCTGGTATTTACCCAAGGAGCAGAGAGATTCAGCCTGAGGTCATACTTCAATTATATGGTGGAGGCGACTCAAGAAATCAGATCTCCTGAGTCCCTGCTCAGGGTTTTTGATTTTGTTTTTTTTTTCCCTAAAGCATATGAAAGCACTTTGTCAAGTGTGAACACTGTACAAATATACAGTATTATTTTTCCCACCTACCTCCCAGCTTTGTACAAAGTAAGTGTTCAATAAGGGTCTATTGAATTGAATAGATGATTATGGCTGCTCTATGGCTATAGAATTAAAGTCAGGAAAGAACAATGGGAAATCTCGTGAATTATGATGTTGTTTACCTTTCCATTGTCGAACCTAATCATTTATTTTTTTCAAGTATGCCTTCTGCTATCCTTAGGCTAATATACACACAAAGGGGGACTGGCATTTGCTGATTATTCTTCAACTGACCATAAGGGTTGGTGGCCCAGAAGCATAATGCATAATACAGTCACCAGGCTGGGAGTCAAAATTTGTCAGGGAGCAGTAAAGGCAAGTGGGTTTTTGGGCACTAACAGGACAGCCTTAGAGTTCTGCACAACAGCCTGGAGAGCACGTGGGCACCGTTCATCAGGAGCCTCAAAGACCCGCACACTCTTTGACCCAGGAATCCCAATCCCAGGAACATACTCTTTTTTAAATTTTTATTTTTTAAGATTATTAATTAAGTAATTTATTTATTTATTTATTTGTTTATTTATTTATTTATTTATTTCATTCATTCATGAGAGACACAGAGAGGCAGAGACATAGAAGGAGAATCAGGCTCCCTGCGGGGATCCTGATGTGGGACTCGATCCCAGGACCCTGGGATCACGCCCTGTGCTGAAGACAGACGCTCAACCACTGAGCCACCCAGGTGTCCCCCAGGAACATATTCTATTAAGATCCAAGGATTTGGTCATAGAGCTGCTCATGGCAACACTGTTTACAAAAGCAAAATTGGGGGAACAGACTAAATGTTTGCGATAGACAATTGGCTCGGTAGATTACGTTAAATCTCGCCTGTGGGCTATTGTTCAGCTATCGGGATTTTGTGTGGGTGGTAAATCCCGTAATCACATGAGTTAATGTTCACAACCGAGTTTTTTAAGGTGGTGGTGGCGGGGAGTGGGGGGTGGGGGAGCAGTTTATAAAATAACAAGGGCCGTACAGCCTTAGATATGTATATCTATTAAATGAGGTTGCAAATATGTAAACTAACATTTAACAGTCGTCATCTCTTCATCAATGGGATTATGGCTGGTTTTATGGATTATCATTTTGCTTACCCCTAGTTTTAGAATTAAGCGTATTTACTCGCATAATGAAAAAACAATAAAATGGTTGTAAAAGATACTACACAAGAATACATACTAGCACTGAAGTGTGATTATGTTAGAGCATTAATAATAATAGTGACTGCAGGTCACATTTATTAAGCACTGTTGTGTGTAGCCATTCTTCTAAATTCTTTACCAGCTTCCTTCCTCTGTCCTCCCAAAAATTACTTGAGGAAGGCACTGTGATCTGTCACCTTTAGTCAGCAGGAAATCTGAAGTTCAGAGAGGTTGAGGTCAAAACTATGCATTGGCATCTGCCCTCTTGTGAAACGTAAAAGCACGTATAACCCATGTGTATGTACACATGCATGTATGCACCGGGGCACGTACGCACAAATTTGTACATCGCTGCTTTCTCCCTTCAGGTGATGGGATCAAGCATTATCTTTATGTTTTTCTTTTGCTTGCCTCTATACTTGATTTTTTAAAAACTGAGTCCATCCAGCGACTTTTTACTAGAAAAGGCAGAAGTATTTTAAGGTTGGAAAAGGAAGTTTGGGGATCCCTGGGTGGCTCAGTGGTTTAGTGCCTGCCTTGCCCAGGGTGTGATCCTGGGGTCCCTGGATCGAGACCCACGTCAGGCTCCCTGCGTGGATCCTGCTTTCTCCTTCTGCCTATGTCTCTGCCTTTCTCTCTCTCTGTCTCTGTCTCTCATGAATAAATAAAATATTTTTTAAAAAGTAAAAAAAGAAGTTTGCCACAGAGGATCCATACTCCACATGTAATCTATGGGGGAAAATAAGGGTGAGCATGTTCCAGAGGAGGAGAACCAGAAGGAGCTCTTAGAATATGAAGAGTGGGGAGAGATTCCCGGTCAGTTGTCTGAGGCAGAGTCTGTGTCTTTCTTATTCCCCTCTGCCTCCCTCTCGCAGACCAGGATCTGGCTCTCAGGAGGAGGTGCTCCATCAGGGAGGAGGGATCGACCTGGGAGAGCCCTGGCTGCCCTCTGGATGCTGCTGGCCTGAGCGAGAAAGCTCACCCAATGCACCTCCTGCAGCTTCTCCCCAGTGCTCTGGGATTCCCCGTACCCCAACTGGCCTGGGGAGTAGACAGTCTTGCGTGTACAACCTAATTCTGTCAGCAGTGAGATTGCAAGTAAGTCATTCCATGTGCCTAAGCCCATGGTTGTCTTTCTTTCTGTGAAATGTGCGCTGTATTATAAGGGATCTCAAAGGATTTGGGGGCCCATATAACCAAGAGCCCAGCATGGTGCCTGGCACATAGTAGGTACTCAATGAAATGCAGTGTTGTGGATTAGCACTAGGATGAGGCATCATGACCCATTCATAATCACAACGTTATTATGACTACTGTGCACACATTCCCCTTTCAGACTCCCACGCTGGCTTGGGCTTCTCAAGCCCCGGTCTTTCCCCAGCACACTAACCAAAGTCTGCTCTTTTGTCTTCTCCCCCAGGAAAAGCTTTCAGACTAGAACCACTTTCCCCTAGCCAAACTCAGCCAATAAAATTAATCACCATGGAGTATGAAGAGTACCCCTAGCTCCACACGGGCTTCTAACAGAGATCTTCAATGCCTTCACTCAAACAGTGGGCAGTAGTGTGAGTGCACGGGCTCTGTACCTTGCTGATTTTACAGGATAATCAGGACCTGGTTCCAGAGACAGGGAGGGTCCCAGAGGGGCGTGGGGACCTCACAGCCTCACCCAGGTTTCCTGACCTTTGACTCTCTCCAAACCTTCTTTTAAGGCTCTAGACTTTTTATGCCCATTGTCATGTTTTATAAACTTTTATTTGCAACACATTAAGACAGATGAGCGTGGAAATCCTTGAAGTTGCTCCCAATAACTCAGCCCCTTTAATATGACCGTAACCTCACCATGTAGGGCATTTCCATAGTCGAAGGATCAAAAAGAAGCCGTTTGCTTTGGCCGAACAAACAGCCGCCCAGCTGTACAACTACGCCAAGGCATCAATAAGGCCAAGAATGCATTTAGGGAAGGTGTGGTAATGCCATATACACAGAAGATTATGGATTTAATCGTTGGAAAAGCAGAGGAGAAAATAGAGTATTCTTAGTCGTCGCTGCAAACTTGGAACCATATGCCATAAATACATGGTTAGCCCATCAAAATGACGAGCCCGGGTATGAAAACCAGAAGATGTTCAGTTTTCAACTCACTGGTCTCACTGCTCAAACACAATCCTCTGATGGCTATATTTACGACTCCATCCCTTCAGATTTGCCTTATTCCAAATAAATCATCACCAATCTCACTGACCCAAATCCCATTTCTTACTAAACATCTTCAATCTCTCTCTCTTGAGCCTAAATGCAAGTGCAGTAAAAAATATTATGAATCCTTTAGGGTACTTTTCACCAATTAAAAGTGGCATATTAAATTTCTGAAAACCTTTGTAATCTGCAGTATAAAATCACATTTTATGGTAGCAGATAATTTAGAATCCATAAGCTAATTAAATGAAGTGAATGACAACTGTATTCTCTAGATAAATGATATATCAGTCACAGATAATGTACAAATTTAAGGGACTGGAACCTTTGGAAGAAGAGAAAAAACAATGAAAATATTCGAGTCACAAATGTTGGTCCTTATATGTAAATCTGACTAATTATATTAACTGCATAATGGAATTAATTGCTGGAGTCTTTTTTGCCTCTAAATCTGCACAGAGCTACAGGAATAGGACCTTCTGCTGTTAGAGAGCCATTATCTCACAATACTGAGCTATGCTGCTGACGCTCCTGGATCTGGGGAGAGGACGCAAGATCTCTATCTGGTGGTGGTCAGTGGGGCGCGGGGGGGGGGGACATGAATTGCAAGAACTATAGCTATTAATAAAAGGGGGGAAGTTTCCAAGTCAAGATTTAAAAACAACAATTTGTAAAAGTGTCCAAAAGCCTTAGGATCATAAAATGTTAAGTAAGCTTCAGAAGAAACTTTAAGATTGGCTACCTCAGTGTTGAGAAGGATTCTGAGGCTGTGTTCAGGCTCAATAAGCAAGAGCACAGTGATCAACCAGAAATGTGTGGCATGGACATGGGAGCGATAGGACATAGATGCTAAACCTGACCAAGGTCAGATCAGGCGGTGCCTGGGT